TGAATTTTCATTGATGACATTCCCGTCTGTTCGTGTAATTGGTGTTACCCTCGGTAATTTTGTTTTTACCCAGAGGACTTGATTCAGAATTAACTTATCATGTACCCTCAGCTCGAATCGCATAGAAAACACTTTATTTTTGCGTGCATACCTTTTGAGACGCTTGTGTGACGTTTCCCGTGCCATTGCCTAGCAATGAGCATGTTTGCAGAACCATTTCCTAGCCACGACTGTTTCTCTTGGCTTCACAATTTTGGCTTCCAACAGACATAACACCATATCATCTTCTGCCACCAGATGGATTACCATTTCTTCGGGACGGGCTTCTGAAATACGCTCAAGACTCATGGAGTTGGCTATATAAGTTACTATTCATTTACGCCATTTACATATTGTTCTACAGCAGGCATGTCCAACTTCAAACAGGTTGTGATCGACTTTTTAGTGTCAAAACTGCCAGGGATCTACCAACCCCTCCTATCTTCGTACCTCGCTTTAAGCAAAAATATTGGTAAAAATAACACGACACATGATGTTTGTTGTAAAAGCAACATACATTGAAAGGTCAGACTACTTTAGCACGTATTTTCCCTTCAAAATCTGAATATAATCATATTATATAACAAGTGAATTTACAAGCTTTTCACGTATAATTTCCTTCTAGGCCTATGAGATCGACCAAAAATCATCCGCTATCGACCGGTCGATCGCGATCGAGGCCTTGGACATGCTTGTTCTACAGTATGGTAAGATGGCGTCCGTCCTCATCTCTGTTTAGCCTAGGTCGCATTCCTAAACTCATCACACTCCGACATTCGTTTATACGGAGTGAACCCACTTACTTATTACGGCAGAGGTCACTTGACGAGAGTCGAACGTGTAACCGCTCACTTCCTTTGTGCCCTTTACTTTAATCAGTAGAGCTGGGTTCCTATCCCAGGGTCTTATAAGGGTCTGACTCGGACAGGGCAGGAAGAACACTTCACTACAATCACCCACCTTTCGACGGTTGCACTTAGTAGTCCTTTAATACCTTCCAACTTTCTGAATACAACTGAATTTCTTACTACTGTTGCCTTGTACTGTACTTATACTATTCTACGGAAGGGCCGTAGTGGTAAATTTAGTGTCCGACTTTGCCGAAAGTAGTGTCAAGACTCTCCGAGGTGGAATGCCCTCTCTCTGAATTCTGAGGTCCACGAACCCCAGACTCCAAGAGAAATCCACTCCTCCACTTCTGCCATTGGTTAATTTTTCAAACTAGGAGGTTCCCTAAATTTTGAATTCCCAATCATGTTGCTCTGCTATGTGATTCTGGCAGATGCTGACCTGACGCTAAGGATGACAGCCCCTTGATGCATTACAGTCAGGGTGTGAGGCTCCGGCCGTCCCACTTCTAAGTTATCGCTGTCCCAAGCTGTCAGCTCTCATTTTCTCAAAGCCTTTCCGACGTTGCTGAAACTGCCAGAATTCCAGGAAAGTACCAGATGTTACTTCCTGTTCACATAGCAAAACTTGAACTATGTCCCTTCCGCGTGTAAGAGCTGGCTATCCGCCGGATCTCTTTGTTTGTAATATTGTTAATCTTAACTTAATACAAAATTTAATTTTCACACAACACTCCTCCAGTCAGAATGGACGGTTACAAACGCCAGACTGTTCCATGGGGTTTGTTGCGAGATTTCCGCCGGTGTATCTAACTTAACTATTACAGATTTCGGTGGAAACAAATTAATCTCTTTTCACTGGACCGTTGGCCAGCATAGTCTCTCTAATTTCAGCTGCAGCTTGCTATGTGTCAGACAAGTCAATTTCACTTTACTATTTCCTGCTCTTTAGAAAAGCTCTATCAGTGGGCTTTCGGGGCCCGCCGTTTCAATCCCTCGTTATGACCTCAGAAGCACAACAATGAAGGGTACCTTCGTGCCGTGTAGACTGGTACTATGCTTTCTGTCTGTCCCGCTTTTCGACATCAAATATCAATGCCGTATATTACACCAGGAAGTTTTTCCATCTCCACCAGAAACACATAAAATGTTGCAAAATTTAATACTATTCCATGCAATCGTAAGCATCTTCTAATACTCAGACGGTTAGACACAGGTTTGCCACGCTGCAACCTCGGACTCTATCCTGGCTAATTTCATGTGGGGCACAAACTGAGTCTGGGCAGATATTCTTGGAGTTTCTTTGATTTTCCCCAGGGTAATGCTGACCACTAACTTCCATCCAGAATCGAGGTTTAGAAAGCGACAATCTCTACCACTACTTAACTCATCTTCTTCATCACATGTTTGCTTAATTATGTACTGGGACATTGTTACTCTTACATAAAGCTAGGCATAGATAGACGAATATACACGGAATTTTTAAAAAGTTATGATTTACTCTCTGCGTACTCGTGTAGTATAAATATGCTCCTTGCTTTCATTATTTCGATTACAGACGGTGAATGCTTCTTATAAATATTTGACGATGCTCATTCAACTGCACGTCCCCAAGAAGAGAATCAACTGTTGATGAACAAGAAGTTGAGTACAGTACAGTGGCCGAAGCACAGTATAGGATCAGCAACACATTTGAAGTGGGTCAAAAGTAATTTGTAACTGGTACATCTCTGCAGAAACGTCTAAAATGCAATTTCTGTGAAAATTATGCTTTTTGCTATGGCCACTTGCATTTGCCTCTAGTTTATTTCACGTGGATGCGAAATTGCGACCTTGATGAGACATTGAGAACGCAATTCTTGTTGTGGAGACCGTATAAATGAAATTGTATTCCGGCAATAAATCGACAAATTGTGTTTAGATTCGCACACATATACAAGTAAGTAAAGTAAAGCTATCCCTGTAACAGGCCGTGGAGGCCCATAGGGTTGTGAGAGGTTGAGGCTCCCACATTTTCTGTAGACAATCGGCTCACAGATGGCGGTAAGGTTGTCATTCTTATGCGCCGGCCGCCTTTTACCCCGAGGAATATTCGAAGAATATTTCTGTTAGAGGCTGAGTCGACCCCAGGGCCATAGTGCGGCTGGAAGGATTAGGTAAATTGGAAAAAAAATCCAATAACCTCATCGAGACTTGAACCCGCGAACTTCCGACTTGTAGCATAGTGCCGCAACCAACTACGCTACCACATGCCCCACACATATAAAGTTATTGCAAATTATTTGTAACCAATATAAAACAAAATTAAAATTGTATGAGGTAAATAAGAAAGAAAATATATCGCGCTTCTTCCAGTGAAAAAAATGTTCTTTTCGTCACTTGTTTTGATACATATATGCAAGAATAATATGTATTCCGAATTTAAGTTTCTAAATGACTCAAATGAACATTTTTGTTGTTGTTTATATTAAGTTGAAATAATGCGAATTCTCCCAACACACACAAATTTTATAAAGCAGATAAGCCCATTATCTTGAAATGAAATGTAACCTGGTCTCGCTTGAAAGTGCGTGTGTTCTGAGTTTCTTGGGAAACCTGTAACTCTCCATCGAAACAAAAGAAAGGCGGGACACTTTCCAAAGTTAAAGCCCCAGAACTTCAGCTTCGTGTATTTATTACCTTTATCTACATTGAACAGTTTGCGTGCTACAGGACCTGCATGTGCCTACGTGATGTGTGGGCTTCTTGACAGCCCTGTTCCTCATTTGTCAAAAGAGGAAATATAGCTTCTCCATTCGGTTTTTCTCCCAGAGACACAAATCGTGTATACAATTTTTATTACAGCTTTCCTTTTGGGGAAAACGGATGCTCGGACACAGAAACTCAGACTGGGGTTTTGAAAAATTAAATAATCGCGAACTTCCGAAAAGCGCGGCCGGCGCGTAAGACTGACAACCTTACCGCCATCTATGAGCCGATTGTCTAGATAATGTGGGACCCTCAACGTCTCACAACCCTATGGGCCTCCACGGCCTGTTAAAGGGATAACTTTACTTTACTTTTTTACTTTTATGCACCTCTTTAAGCTTTACGTAATGGAACTTTCGGAGATGAGAGAACTGCGAGAGATTCTGTTTCTTATGGAGTTACTTAACAGCTACACAGGGATGCAGATGATATCTGAGGAAACATAAGGCGTATCTGAATTATGGTTTACTGAGTTGTGACATCGTCTAGTTTTGTGCATAGTTACCAGTGTTTCTGTGGAAACTTCTGCCTCTGTGTTCTGCACATACCAAGATTCTCACAGGGTCCATTATGAAAATTATTGATATGTGACGCCGTCTAGCCTGGTACACCATTACCGATATGCATATCATACAAGAGCTGGATATAACAGTAAAGCTATAGACTTTCATCCTGGAGGTACTCGCTTCAAATATCAGCCGAGACACCGAACTTTGTGATTTATAATATTCATGATATTCTTCAGTCTCTCCAGGCAAATGACGATATATTACCCCGATTTTCTTTCAGATCCTTTCCAGTTCATCGTATGTCTCTCATCCTAGCATTCGATCTTTGAAGTCAACATGCTGGTAGTTTCGAAAAGTAGCAAAGAAAGTAGTGCAAAACACGTAACCTAAAATGACGTTTCCAAACCATACGTTAAGTTTCATATCCCATCTACGTCTTGGTCAACCCATTGATCTCTTCCTTCTCTCTGCTTGCCTAATATAATGTCATTCTAATTTTGCTTGATTTGACAAGCGTAATAATATTTTGTCAAGAGTTCTGTTTGATGTGACAATAAATTTTGCGAACTCATACATACCTCACTATTGAATGTCACTGTGATTGCCTTCAGAGTACTCCCCTTAGGAAGCTATTCACTATTCACCGATGCCAGATTCTAGTCCACCATTGAAAACAATTCTGGAACTGGTTTTGTGGAATGACCTTCAGAGCTGCCGTCGTATTACTCCTGATATCATCAGTGTCATCAAAATGCCTTCCTTTCAGTATTTCCTTTATCTTTTGGAACCGAACAAGTCATTGGTAGCTAGATCTGGTGAAAGGGGGGGGGGAGCTTCTAGCACAGTTATTTGATTGTTAGCTAAAAGCTCCCTCACAACAGTGCCGTGTGAGCAGGTCCTTTGGGAACATTTTTGCACACACCTTCTTCATATCAAGATCTTCCGTTAAGATTTTCCCAACTATTTCTCTGTTGATGTTTGCTTGCTGTGGCATGCTCCTGCCAGACAGCTGACAATTTTTACGCACAATTTGATGGAATTTTGCAAAGTTTTCTTCAATTCTGCTCGTTGCTGGCCGTCCTGATTTCACTTTGTCAGTGACACTTTCTCTTCCTTCAGAAAAACGTGTCACCAGCTTGTAAACTGCTGCTTTCTTCATAGCATTTGCCCCGTGAACTTGCAGTAACTTCTTACTGATTTCGCTTCGACTCTTGCCAAATTTAACAATAAATTTAATGTGTGTTCGTTTCTCTAATTCAAGCTCCAACATTCTCGCGACGGCACACCAAAGCACACTCAGACAACAATAGACGCCACTCGAAAAGAGACTGCCGTAGATCAACAACAACACAGTTGTGAAACGCGCATATATCAACGTCATCGAATCATACTGAGGTTTCTGTCCACTGCTGCCACGGCAAGCACACGGTGGCGAGATTACGAACTATATTGTCAGACATCTTAATTCGGCCCGATTCGGCCTATATGCAGAATATGGGACTCTGCTTATCCGGCTCTTCAAGTTTATATTAGGGTACGTCACAGATTGTGTATCTGACTGTGTGGAAATAATGTTCTGTGTGTACAACAAGGTTTCCGCTATGGCGGGTTTGGTTATCATCATATGTTAAAAATTTAGTATTTTTTTATTGCTAGTGGGGTGGGACTAAATCCCTTGTACTGCGGCCACATCTGGCCTATTGTACCAGCCCCAGATGATAGGTGAGGGTAATTGTGGAGCAATTGGTGGAATAAAGATTGGCAGGGGAATGAAGTACTCGGAGAAAACCTGCCCCACGCCACTTTGTCACCACAAATCCCACTTGGCCAGACCCGGTATCGAACCCTGGCCGCCGCGGTGGAAAGCAAGCGACTAACGACTTGAGCTATGGCGCGGCCTAAACATTTAGTAACTTTCTATTTATACCGAGAGGACATGTCTCTCTCTCTCTCTCTCTCTCTCTCTCTCTCTCTGATGATGCAAACTCAAAAGATGTTACAGACTCAGAATATGACGTAACTTTTGTGAAGAACGGATTATGTATGTTTATCAGCTGTCTGAAATAATTTGTATATAGTGTAAGTATATACTGAAAATTCACAACACATTCCAAATATTGCTTCATGTTGGCTTTTCGCTTGGTATACATTTCATCCTAAAGAAAAGGACGGCATATTCCTGCAAATCGTCAGTTGACTCTCCTATTCCCACATGACATTATATCCCAGAAGACGAAATTCTTCATAACCACCTCAGTGAGAACTTCAAACCATACGGACAAATTCTGTGCGCTTCCGTTAAATTCTGAAGACCAGATTTTTCACGCGTACATAAATTTCCAAAACGCAATGAACGTGACGTACGTTTCAGAGAAAATAGTCGTTTAGTGGTGTGAGGCCCATTTTAATTGCAATTAATTTTCGAGCTAGCTCATTCACATGCTTCGGACACCGCCCTATGACGTACACATTTTCCAGTACCGAATATGAATAAATACCTTCCAGGCCTTCTGCTCATGCGCGGTGCATATCCACAGGCACACAGAGAGGTGGACGGGTTCCAGAAACGCCCCTTTCTTTTATTCAGGGCTTCCGGAAACATGTAAATCCGTCAATATTTCGGGATCGATCTTCTTTTTTACCATATACAGTGCTTCCTCATGTATGCTACGTACATGACAAAGTGAAAAAGAAATTGTCTTAGAACTCAGTAATTATGCGCGCTCCTTCATGTCTGAAACATTTATTCACACTTCTGTCTTTTGACGTCAAAAAGTTTCAGAGATGCGGTTACGTAAGAAGCGAATATGATTCTCCCAGCGAATGTAAGACACTCCTTTGAAGGGAGAAGAGGAGACAAGTTGTGTGACTCCACTGCCCGCCTACAGAAATATCGCATTCACAGAGAGACGGAGAGCACTAAGGTAACATACTGACATTCGTATCTGCGTGTATTGCGTTTCATGCGTATATTCGCTGTTAGTGTTTCTTGTTTAATTATGTCAGTTAACATGAGATTAAATTCAGTAATACTGGCTCCAATCCCGTCCATTGAAGTAAAGATGATAATATCAAATTATCTTTTTTTTTGTGTGAGCGGGAATTGTGGTCTGTCACCTCAAGAGGAAACCACAGAATAATGATATCTGGAGACAGGACGCTGAGGAATATATTTGACCATTATGTGTAACAGATAGGACAAATTGGTCCATTGTCAGTCCTGATTAATTATTTGTTACTTTTATTACATATTATTAGCCTGAGGAAACATGAAAACCTGAATACATGGGATGTCTTCGCAAATGCGAGAAAGAAATACACATACAATTCTGGTCACAGAATATTTGCAAGATGTAGGTAAATACTGGGGAGTAATATTAAAATGTGTGAACGGAGAAGTTCATGAGGTAGGCCTAGGGCCACTGGGGCTGTAGTGCCAAGGGAAAAAAATATTAAAATGTATCGTATAGAATTTTTTCTAGAATTTCTTCTAGAAAATGGGAACCAGTTTTGATCTTTGGAAACAAAATTTTGATGTATCTTACTCGATAAAAGACATTTATTTATAGACAAATTTTAATATACTCTAAGGTAACAAATAATTATCAACCAACAACTAAATATTTCTGTTAACAGGTGTTCGTCCAGATTTTGCAGAAAAATGATGACACCGAAGGAAAAACAGAGTGAAGCCTCTGAAAGGAGAAAAAAATTAAATAATGATGAAGAATTTTCTGCGAACAAAGTACAGATCATGACTTTGGATTTCCTTCTTCACGTAGCTGGCATTGTTCCGCCCAACAATGCAACACCGCTCATAAGATTTTTGTACAAAGTATTTCAAACAGTGATTTTTACATTATATATATTAGCGTTGTTAGGGCAGATGATGGCAGTATATGTCAACTGGGGAAATATTCCTGTGCTTTCCAGTACAATGAGTTACACGAGTGGCTTCCTTCTATCAGTCATTCTCTGCTTGTATTTCCTACACAACAAAGATAAATTCACGAGGCTTATAGATTTGTTGAGAAATGAATTTGTGGCCAAAATTAACTCTAAGTATATCAAATTCATTGACACCGCAGAACGTCAAATTCGACTGTCAGTTACACTCTCAGCCCCTTTCGCTACTTCTTTAGGTCTCATTTCGATCGTAGCGCCATTCCTGAGTAAGAGTAGCTTTTCGAATTTTGATAACAACACTGTAACTACAGATGGGAAGAAATGGGGCAGACTGATGTTCGTGATATGGTTTCCTTTTGCAATTGAAGAGTCGCCTCAATTGGAGATAATCATGGTCTTGCAAATTATCCTCATGTGCTTTGCAGTATTAATGCTGGTTGCCGTTGATGCAACATTTCTGTTACTGATAACCCATGCAGCTGCTCAATTCAAGGTTTTATGTGCAATGCTGAATGACATGCATGAGAATATCTCTGAAGTTGAGTTGAACAGAACAAAGCAAATGTCCCCGTTGCAAGATACTGCAGAATTCAACCTTATGAAGGATCCCTTGACTTCAGCAGATGATATCACGTGTCACGAATTGGGGAGTGGAAATTCTGCAAGCCGCAAGTCTGAGACGGCGGTTCTAGAAAACTGTCACATGAACAAAGATCCGTTCCAGTTGTACCTTGCTGAATGCATCAAACATCACCAAGCTATAATCGAGTAAGTCATAGTTTTCCAGATTTACAGAACATACAGATACTTTTTTGATTGTCTCCCTTAGTCTGAGGTTTCATGCCACCATGAAATTCACTACGATTAATGAATAAGAATACGAGGACTAAAAATGTCTCTTGTATTTAGAAATCCTTTTGAAAACCGCGCTGTAACGTTTTCTGACTCTGTATTGATGTTGTAAAAATGTTTGCATTGAGAATATCTACGTCTTGAAACGAATACAAACTATTCTGAGACAAATAAGTCCCCTTCAGGTTCTTTAAAACTATTAATTTAATGTCCTTCCTAATATTATTCTCCCTTTTTGACTTTGATTTATGAAGTGGCCTCATTCCTTAATGCATTTCGAGTATATGTGTTACGCAGTTCTAACCTCTACCGTGCTTCATACCTATCTTCCCATTCCACACTCTGTGATTCTGTAACTTATATAATCTCTGAGTAATATAAATTATGAAAGTCGATGTCTCATGTGCTGCTACGTAAAACTGTGACGATATTCATATCTTGCAGGTTTGTCGCTAATATCAACGAAGTCGTGAGTTTAGTTACGTTCGTGAGGATAGTAAACTTCCCACTTATCCTGTGTATGACAGGATTTGAAATGACACAGGTAATTTCTATATAATGTATTAGTAATAATACTTTCTGGGAGTCGAGATAGCGTAGGCGGTTACGACCGGTTACGGGCTGAATGATCTAGGATTCGGAGTTCGTATCCCGGTAGGATTAAGGACTTTACATTCTCCATACCGTCCAGACCGGCTTTGGGGTCAACTTAGTCTCATAACCAATGGCTACGGGGAGTTCTTTCGATGGGGATAAAGCGGCCGGGGCGTGAAGTTTACCATTCACTTCTATTTAGTCTCGAGGCCAAGATTCTGGAACTTTACTTCGTCCCCCTATGTGTTTTGTGACCTAAAGGCTCCCACACACAGACGCGATACGATTCGGGACGATATAGCACTCGGGACGAAAGCGGTTGTTTACCGAGTGGGCCGCGCACACAGCCGCGACACTCGGGAACCTCGGGAATCTTTGACACCCGATAACCAGCTGGCCATGACTCACACTCAGTCAGTATCTATACGTACGTGAAGCGACATGGGTAGGCAGATGGAACAAATAATAGAGTTCGTCAAAGAAAATGCTTTATTGTACGATACTCGTCATCCGATGTTCAAGGATTCACGTGCTAAGGATAGAAAGTGGAAGGAATTGGCTGTTACAATGAACAGAGACAGCAAGTAGAAAAATTTGTATATATTTATATAGGGTTAAGTATACAGTAACTGTGGGCATTCTTAGTGTAGGCTATGCACCAGTTCCGTTCACTAACACGAATTCCAGGGACAGTCATCTAGTTGAAGTACGCAACAAACCGCTCTCTAATGGCGTAGCTAACGTTTGCCACCCTTGGGAGACGTAAAGGTTGGATAGGGAACATTTCTCCTTCTAATGGCTCCACTCGTAGCAGTTCTTCCCTGTACTTTTCATCACAGATTTTGAGATGTAGAAAATTATGAAGCAAACACGCTGCTGATACAAAGTGTTTTATATTTCATTCTTTCAGTTCTATGGGTATCAAAAAAATCCTCCACTTAATGGCAAGAATAGGCCTCCGGCAATTGGTATATTGTTTAGTGATATCTTCTTGCCCGATGGCTCTCAGGATTGCATCAAACCTGTCAATATTCATCCTGAAATATATATAGAACCGTTTTTCGTCCTTCAGGAGTTGAGGTATCAGTGTATAAAACTCCCCCAGTTCCTCTCTTGACAAGTTTATATCATGAATCCAAGCGATTCGTCTCTTTCGCCTAAAATACGAACACACATAGCAACCACTTATACGTACTTAATTAGAGACTCGTTATGGAATTGTAAATATTTGTACATATATATGACATACTGAATATTTGGAGGAAAAGAACTACGCAGATTTAGTGTTCAGTAAAATACTTGCCGGGATTCACCTTCGTCTTCATCAAGAGCGACAGCTAAAAGCAAATCTTCCTCCAAAGACGGATCCATGAGTATTTACCGCTGCGATACCGAGCGGTCTACCGAGTGCGCTCGGTAGACCGAAATACCGAGGCGATATACCGACTGCGATAATATCGCGTTCCTCGGAGTACCGCGCCAGTGTGCGGACCTCCATTTACCGCAATGTAATTAGATATCGTCCCGTACCGTACCGAGCTGAGTATCGCGTCTGTGTGTGGGAGCCTTAATGCTTAATTAGCTAAGCACCGGGACAACTTTACTTCTTTCTTTACCATCATAGTAGTGCCTGTACTGTAGTGGTGTCTCTTTATACCTTAGGAACACGTGGCATAACGGCCATAGTCAGCATGGAGCTGTCTCTAGAAGTGACTCGATTTGCCACTCCCCAAGACGTCAGTACTATCGTTCCAGTAGCAATAGGTTCAGGAAGGAATTAGCGAGTCCGCATTTTAATGCCTTCCTGTAATGGCATAACTTAATTTGTTTTCGGGGTGTCCTACTGGTCTGTAGCGTGTACCAAAGTCTGAAGGGGATATTTACACGCCTGGTTCTGTATGCCGCAAGAGATATGTGAAAGACAGTGGTTCCTGTACCCAAATAAACACGATTCCATAGTTACATATTGTGGACTGTTTATAGACCGCCATGTCTATTTTCCCTGAGGACTAGATCGAAGTGAGTGAACAGTTGTGTGTTCAGACCGGTTGATCTTAAGTCAGTGTGTTCTGGCACACACTGGATAGGAATTTGTGGGCCCCTTAACTGGCCTGAACACTATGAAGAAGAGAAAGTTCCTGCCGTTGCAGAGATTCGAAACCAGTTTCCCCGATTTCGATATATTTGCCTTAGTCACTGACTAATTCTTTCGTGTCATTGGTTTCTTACTACGTAGTATCGGATATTTATATCTCGCAATGAAATTGTTTCTCTGTTACAGAATCTTGGCAACCTTGAACAATTCCTTAAGTTCGCCTCTTTCTTCGTTGCAGCTCTGTACTTAATAGGAGGTTACTGCTTGTTTGGCCAACAAGTAATTGACGAGGTTCGTGTCTAAAGTTACACTTACACGTATACAGTTCTCTATCTGTCCGCACATAACTCCTGGCACTTACCACTCTGTCAGAATGCAGTTGGATGTGTGTGGATTTTCAGATTCTGAAAGCAGTGACTATGAAGAGACTAAAGTATGACTCAGAGGAGAAGGTAAGCGACGAGTAGGCGCCACAATCCTCATTCAGATTCAAGGTCGAAGAGCAAAGGAGGCAGTCAGCAATATGGCAGGGGCACAGGAGCGGGAGTTTGCTTGCTTCTGCCCCATTGGTGGGTTAGCATGTCGTCCACCTTGAAGATACCTGCAGTATGATCATCTCAAGCGTCGGTAGACTTCTACCGGACTCTACTGCATCAAATCACATAGGAGAATACTCTACGAAAATGTTGCTTGCTCAATATGCTATGTTCGATTTGAATTATGTAGGAAATGAGGCTTTCACACCGGTCGTTATGTTGACTTGCATATTCTGCGATATAACGGCATGCATTCCGTTGAAAGAGAACTGAAGTTTCTGTGGAGCTTATTGTCTGCATATTCATTGTCGAAGAAAAAGCAGGGGAAGACACCAGCTGTGCTCACTACGGTCTTAATACGGTTTCTCACTTTGCTTATTCTACGATTCAGAAGATGGAGGCAATATACTGTGGTATAATTTCTCCATGTAAGAACTGTTGAGCTCCAGAATCTGCCGTTGCCAAGTAATAAACCTACACAACAATAGGACAACAGGGTTATGCACCCCGTATTTAGGCAACAGCTCGGTAAACACCATTCCCGCTTCAGCTCATTACAGAAATATGGAGACAATTGCTGAGCAACGGGGCGATAAACATGTTTCATGAACAATACAGACTGCGTTTTCCGTTGGGTCTGTGCAAAGTGGTTATAAGGGAACTGAATTCATAAGCTAGGAGTAGTTGAGAGTACAAAGACGAGATTGGAATATGCCCTAATAAATCATGAAGATTAGCGAAAGCGCTATAATTGATTGTAATTGTATGTTCAATAGACAGAATCATCAGATCTAGAACCCACAGTTATTAGTCACGTTGCCCTTCAAATGTGACAATACGCATCCGAATTCTCAGTTGACATTCAACGGATTACACAGCGATATATTCCAGGGCATAGATATCATTATAAATTAAATTAATTCCATGCCTCACCGTACGTTTAAGTCTGTCTAGGATCTGGCTTATAATAACTTTATATAATATTAATTAATATTGCAACTGTTTTAGAGTGAGAAGGTACAGCTGGCATTCTATAGCACTGACTGGTACAGCCAGACAGCGGGATACAAAAGTCTGCTGCCTCTGGCGATCATGAGGGCCTCAAGACCGGTGACCGTGAGGGCTGGAGTCTTCTTTGACTTGTCGCTCCTAACTTTCTCATTGGTACGTGGCGTTGTTTGCAGTCTGAAGTATCTAACCGAATATTATGAGACCTTCAGGTACATCTTCTGTGTAATCTTCAAATTTAATGTATATTTTGCCTTCCTAATCTCTGTTTCAGTTGGTGAATGCTTCTTATAGATATTTCACGATGCTCATTCAACTGCATGACTCCTAAAAAGAAGATGGGCTGGGTACAAAGAAGAAGCTGACCGTAGCAATTCCAGTTTGCCCCTGTGAATAGTAACACAATGGGAACAACTGGCTTGCACATTGCGTTTGATGTATCCATACAGAAATATTTGGAGTGCATTTTTAGAAGCCATTTTTGCTGTTCGTGTTAGTTGCTTATATTTAAAAACTGTACGTATTACTATCCACACAGCTCACTGTTGTCAGCTTCAGAACATAATACCTGTTGGACAAGCCGTATAGAAGTGTTTGTATTCATGCATTCAAGGGCACTTTTTTTAATTGTCACAGATATACATGTAAAGAACATTAATTGGTACTTGACCAAAAGGTCTAAGATATCTTAAAATAAGTAGAAAACAAATTATATCATCTTTAATGTTGTTTAGAATTTAGATATTTCACTAAATGCTTTCAGCAAATTCTAAAATTTTTTCACTCATATCCACTGATACTTTGTTTTAGAATGGAAATTTTCTAAATAGAATAAATATATGATGGTTTAATGAAACGTTGTGAATTCTATTGTGAAGATGCAGGAAAATAAAAGAATAAATAGGAGAGAGATACGAGATCAAGGGAACAAGTATTGTGAGATAAGAGGAAGAGAAATAGAAGATGATAAAATATAACTTTAAGATAGTTTAACAATGTCGGCCATGGTGAAATATTTCAGTAATTCTCGCAATTATTTCAATAGTAACGTGATGTGGATTGTTGTAGGGTTCAGTATTTTATCCAGCAGTTCTCTGTGTATGCACGTAAATTTCCATTGATGGAGATGCTTTAAGAGCCACGCAATAAATATAAGTGTACTTAGCAGAAGTGTATAAGTTGCATTCCGTGTTAGTGTTCCTTTACGCCATAGCTGTAATGTTGTACACTGAACAGGATGACTTAGTTGTCAATGTCTGTAATCTAAGTGTGTGTATGGCACGAGGCCTGCTCTCTGATTGGAGAGCACTTGTAATGAATCACAGTGCAATTTAAGGGGACATTTTCTAATAATAGAATCAGTTCTCTGCAACTGCAGCACACATTCTCCTGTGGAGAGAAAACCGCCTTTTTAAAAAATGTCTGACATCAATAGAGCGGTAATACCTCACTTCAATGTTGCAGATTTATGCATTGTAATTTGAACAAAAAGTTGAAATGTTCTATCTTCTGATTATTAACGCCGTGCACTCATTTGAAAGTCAACTTTGTACCAGACTAAACGGCATCACATCTCAGAAGATAGAATCCTTCATTACCATCGCTGTAATAACCTTAAATCCTACATATATATACTCGTATATAATATTTGTAGTTTCCTTTAATGTCTGTAAGTAGCAACTGTATTCATTATAGAATGGTGAGATAATAGAAGAATTGTAATAAAAGAAAGGGAGTGATCGTGACCTATTTTGAAGTAATATCCCAGAATTTGCCTATTTTTTAGTCATTACTCATCAGCGCGAATGAAAATACAGAAATTTGTGCATTGCGTATATACTCACCAGTGCTCTAACGAAACGTCGTATTCTTGTAATCAGAAGCTATTGTCAGTTACAGCTGAAATATTAAGTTAACCAAAGGAATGCACATTGAAAGTTAAAGTTTTAAGTCCAGTTATGTAAAAGGTAAGAATGAGTTGTATCTATGTTAAAGTATTTAAGAATTTCCTGGCAGGAAAATGTCCGGGGGGGGGGNGGGGGGGGGGGGAATGTATGTTCATTTCACACCTATAAATATGTAAAATTCATGAAGACAGAAGAAAACCGACTTGAAGGTTTACTGTGGGACAGTGTAACTCTCTGTTTCTTGTCGCTGTAATAGTTCTCAAATAATGCGTCGAAACATCACGGAAATTAGATCATCAGAACACAGGTGCGTCATCCTGGAAAGAAAATGGGTGCACAGAGAATGTTCTTTGTGAACCTGTACAGAAAATTCCAGAAAGTTGGCTGAAGCTGAAATACATCTGATATATGTCCGGGAGCTTATCGTATTGAATGACCTCCGGAGCACTGAAAACGTTGAGTAAGTTTTTATTGTAGATCTCCTTCGTCCTTCCAGGGAAATGCTAAAGCATTACGCCGAATCATGCCACGAAAATTTCTTTCCTTGGAACGATAAGCCATCCAGTGTAAACCAATTTATTATTTTGTATCTTGTAGAATTTTACTGGGTAACGACCTCGAAACAAACAACAAAACAACATCCGTTTCCAAGCAACGACAGCGACATAAGCAAATATATCACAACCGTCACTGGGTAACGCCTTTGCAAAGACGTTCCCACGGAAAATTTTGGAGCACAGCAGCGAAATGATGTTTTCTACGCGGTCCTTAACGAGATGTTATAACCGAGACAAGTTGTAAGTCAGTAGTCGAGTGTAAGGGAATCAGTGAAGAGAAGATTTATTCCGTGCAGTTAAAAAATCCGCACTGTTAGAAGGCGTTACCAGGGAACAACTGGTGAAAACAGACTGGAAATGTTCAGCAGTTATTTGTAAATTGTGTAGATCAGCGATGGCGCTATAGTTAAGTGTAGTCACGAGTCGTGTGTTGAAGTGGTCAATAATTCCAATCTCCAATCAAAAGCCTTTCGAGAATCACTCTAACACGTGACAATATGTAATCCAGTTTATAACGCGTTACATGTTTCGGTCCGTTTGAGTCTTCTTCAGGCCCGAAACAGTATAAGGAACCTGATTTACAATTTTTGTAGGTCTTATATGATAATGAACGATGGAGTGGTTTGAATCCGTAAATGTTGAACATAATCAGTAAGAAATCTGTATTTATATCTTCTGATATGGGGTTTTATTTAATTTCTTAAACGTCTCTACCTCCTGTTAATCAGCGCAGTGCTATTGCATATGTCCGATATATTATTTTAATTTTAAACAATATTAGCAGGAACCGGTTTGGATTCGTAATAATAAATTTTCGAACGTAGAGCCCCTACGGTTTATGTAACACTACAGAACAGTATAACATTTTACAAAAATCATTATATATAGATATACAGTGGCGCTTCTAACCGGCCTCCGTAGTCTAGAGGTAATGTTCCCACCTCATGACTCATAGTACGCGGGTTCAAATACCCGGCGGAGGTCGTCGAATTTTTAAGGGCGGAAAAATTCAGGGAACAAGTCCTCCGGGAGGGACTTTAAGCCGTGGGTCCCGTGTCGTAGCTTTACGGCACGTAAAAGAACCTCATATCTCCAAAGGAGGTCACTGAGCCAAATTACGGACGTTTCCCGCCCAACAGCAGTCTCTAATACCTCTGGTAGATGGGGGAAGCATTATGGATACCTCTCAGCTAGTAGAGCCGGTCTCGCTGGCTGGGCGGGACTGATGGTAAGCACCAGTACCGGTAGGATATAGAGAATGGTAGAAATCATAGAAGGAAGCACAATGGACCAATACAGGTCTAAGTGCATGGGGAAACCCACCCTCTCCAATAACTAACTAACTACAGTGGCGCCCCTGGTTCGAGGCCATATCAGGTCATGTGGGATTTGTGGTGGACAGAGTGGTATTTTGGCAGGTTTTCACCGAGTACTTCGGTTTCCCCTGCCAGATCTCATTCCACCGACTGCTCCACACTCATCATCTCACATCCGGGGCCGGTACAGTAGGTCAGTTAGTGGCCGACGTGCCCTGAAGAGCGTTGTGCTGTGGAGACATGACTGCCGAAGTACAGCAACCCTTCGGGATCGCAATATTAGCCCTGCAAACTATGTTAGGCCGGTCACGGTAGCCGAGCGGTCTAAGGCATGCACTGTCTTCGTTCGCTCGGAAGCCGAGATCGTGGGTTCGAATCCCACTCAGTGCATGGATGTTTGTGTGCGTTTTTCTGTGTTTGTCTACAGGTAGAGGCCTTGCGACGAGCTGATCACTCGCCCAAGGAGTCCTACCGAATGTGTAAGATCTAGAAAAACCGAAGTGAACGGAGTTCATGGAGGTAGGCCTAGGCCCACTGGGGCTGTAGCGCCAAGGAAAAAAAAACTATGTTAGGCTTCCTGCTTAACTTACGCGCTGTTCCCCCAGCAAATAGTTAACCTTTCACGAGACTAAGAAGCGTAAAAAAATGACTCTACGTACCTACTCTAGTTGAAGGATAGTTCACACAATATGTTAAGAAATATTTAAGTTTTATCTCGAGTTCAGGGGATTGAGCAGAGGCTTCCTAACTTGGAGCCTTGGGTTTGGTTCTTCATGTGGTGCACAAAGTGGCACTGGGGTAATTCTTCTCGGAGTTCCTTTAATTTTCCTCTGTCAATAATCATTCCAGGCCGGAGGGTAAAACTGCCAACTCATTGCCATGTAGTAAAGGTAACCCTCAACCAACTTGATATATTTCTCTTTATATTTTAAATGAAGTTAGAGAATCCATGATATGTATACAGTTGTCGTCTTGTAGTGCACTCAATTTCACCTGTTACTTATTTTAATTATGACACATAAGATGAATAATCTTAACAAGTTTTAGTGTGTGTAAATTCATTATAGTTGACAAATACGCACTTTTTAAATACTTTTTAAATAATTTTATAAAGGCAAGCAATGAAATATATTAGCGTATTTAGGGCACCTGATGATGGCACTATGTTGCCGAAACATGTCGTGAAGTAACAGGTGAAACTGAGTGCACTACAAGACGGCAACTGTACACATATGATGGATGAAAATCAGTGCAACAGGACGCTAAAATACAAC